TTCCCACCCTCCACCCCCCTGGTAACCACAAGTCTTTATTCTCTGTCTGTGAGTCTATTTCTGTCCTGTATTTACGCTTTGCTTTTGTTTGTTAGTTTGTTTTTGTTTTTTAGAATAGTTTCCTTTTTTGTTGTGCAAAAACTTGTAAGTTTAATTAGGTCCCATTTGTTTATTTTTGCTTTTATTTCTATTGTCTTGGTAGACTGCCCTAGGAGAATATTGCTAAGATTTATAGCAGAGATGTTTTTCCTATGTTTTCTTCTATGAGGTTTATAGTGTCTTGTCTTACACAAAAATATACTCAAAATGGCCTAAAGACTTAAATGTATGGTGTGAGGAAGTGTTCTAACTTCCGAAGACAGTATTTTAAATGGCTTGATATGGGTCCCTTCCATCATTTTTCTTTTTATTCAAAATCTCCCAGAAAGCCTACCAGCTTCCCTGGCAACATTCTTCAGGACAGACATGTTAGTCTGGCTTTCCCCTGCTACCTTTTGGGTTTGCTTCTGTTCTGAAATGAGTATTCACTGTGCTGCAGGCTAGATGTTAAGTGCCCTCAAGACATCAGAACCTTTTGAGGGAGATGATACACACATTAGAAAATTAGAGAACAATTCAAAATACCCTCAATTATAGTGAGCTGGGATACTATGAATAAATGACTCAATGAAATGCCAAACTATAGCCCTTAAGTCAAGGCTGTATTCTGCTGTTGTTCAGCAAGTGATCTTACTCAAGGAGAGGGAGAACACTTCTGAAAATAGAAGATTTGAACATTTCTGTTTGTCTCCTTGTTGTAAAGCTCATCCCAACCTTTTCTCCGTAGGCTTCTTATCCCTATAACTGTGGCTCCTGAGATTTTTCTGGAGACTTTGATGACAAAGTCCACCTCACTATTCTCTTTTAATTCTTGCTTTTATTTGTAAGTAGAAAATAATACTCTAAAGGCAAAATTCAAAGAAAAGATCTCTCTCAGAAATCTACCAGTATTTCCTTCCAGTTGTGGCTTCCTTGCATTCATGCTGCTGTCACTGTGTGCACTCAGTTTAGTGCCCTTGTTTTTTAATAGACTTGATTTTTTTTGAGTATTTTCAGGTTCACAGCAAAATTGAACAGAAGGTATTGAGATTTCCCATTTACTCCACACCCCAACACATGCATAGCCTCTCCCATTATTGACATCCCCCACCTGTGTGGCACATTTGTTACGATCAGTGAATCTACACTGACACATTATCACCCTAGTGCCCATTTTTTACTTGGCATGTCGTTAACCCTTTTCCATGTGATTACATGCTCATGGTGATTGTTTATGGTTGTCTAGTACTACACTTAGCACCTTGCCTGACACTAATGAGCTCAGAAGGAAAGTGTTCCAGCTTTTTGGAAAGGAGCGCAGGTTGCTCTTGGAGGTTAGGAGCCAGCTAAGGACTAACATTTGGGACACAAGAAGCAGTCAGGAATTCTCTTCCTGGGAAATATTTTGTATGAAATTTTTCAAACATAGGTGTCATCTTCAGATGATAGGAAAAGAAAGGGAGCTAAGTGGTAGCAAGCCCCCTCCTACACTCCAAGATTCTGCTCTGTGCTCTATGTACACAATCAGATTTAATCCTTTTAGATGGATCCATAATTACCCACTTCCTGCAGACAGTGAAGCTGAGGTTGAGAGACAAGATGGTTTGAGTTTACTGAACATGTTACTGACAGAGTCAAGATTTAAATCTTGGCTTGTTTTACTCCAGACACCCTACTTTTGCCCAGTTTCTCATGGTGCTCCACCAAGGAGAGATGTTGACTTTTATAAGACCATGAGTTAAGTCTACAAACAGATCCTGGTTGTGGTTTCTCTTCCTGGATTTCATTAACTAGAAAAGATAACAGATAGGTTAGAAAGAATTGTCCTCTCCTTTGTGTGTTAACTGAAATGATCCCCGCTGCTAGTTGGTTGTTGACTAGTTAGTCAATAAGAACTTACTGAGGACAAAGGCAGAATAGCAGGCCTGAGGTCAGACTATCTGTGTTCTCCTCCTCTCTGAAATCTTGTGTTCCTCATCTGTATCATAATAATGATTGCACTTGCCACATAAGTGAGGATCACATGAGAGAACTCATTAACACCTGTTATTGTTAATGTGGTTGTGATGCTGTTGCTATTGACCTGGTGATGGTGGTGTTGACTTGTTGACAGTGTTGTGGACGTTGTTGACATTGTTGCTGTTGACTTGTTGAAGCTATTGTCCACATTGTTGATGTTGCTGGCACTGGTATTGATATTGTTTTTGATGTCAACATTGCCCATGTTGTCACCTTGTTTACATTGTTAGCATCAGTCTTAACATCTTGTTGGTGTTGTTGACTTGTTGATGTTCTATCGATTAGTTGACATTGATGTTAATTTGCTGGTGACTTGATGACATTGTTGATATTAGTGTTGATGTTATTGATGTTGACATTGTCAGCCTTACTACTGTTATTAACTTGCTACCATTATTGACCTTGGTGTTAACTTGCTGACATTATTGTTGACTTGTTAATGGCTTGTGGAGCTGTTGTTGTCACTAAGACCTGTTTTTCATTCTTTCTTCCTCATAAGGTGGCTCACTTGGTTCTCAAGGCTCATGCCAGAGCTTGGCACCACTACAACAGCCACCATCGCCCACAGCAGCAGGGGCGTGTAGGCATTGTACTGAATTCAGACTGGGCAGAACCCCTGTCCCCAGAGAGGCCCGAGGACCTGAGAGCTTCAGAACGCTTCCTGCACTTCATGCTAGGCTGGTTTGCACACCCCATCTTTGTGGACGGAGACTACCCAGCAGCCCTGAGGGCCCAGATCCAAGAGCTGAACAAACAGTGCCCCAGTCCTGTGGCCCAGCTTCCTGAGTTTACTGAGGCAGAGAAGCAGCTCCTGAAAGGCTCTGCTGATTTCCTGGGTCTGTCCCATTACACATCTCGCCTCATCAGCAAGACTCAACAAGATACCTGCATCCCCAGCTATGATACCATTGGAGGCTTCTCCCAACACGTGGACCCTTCATGGCCCCAGACTGCATCCCCTTGGATTCGTGTGGTGCCCTGGGGTATAAGGAGGCTGCTGCAGTTTGTATCCTTGGAATACACAAGAGGCAAAGTTCCAATCTACCTGGCTGGGAATGGCATGCCCATAGGGGAAAGTGAAGATCTCTTCAATGATTCCTTGAGAGTCAACTACTTCAACCAGTACATCAACGAAGTGCTGAAGGGTAAGAACATAGATATGCTGGTGATTGGAACATGGGTGGTTCTTCATCAAGTCTTCAGAGTTTTGTTTTATAGGACAAAGATGATTTCCCAAGGAAATGAAGCCAAAAAGTACTGTTGGTAGTAACAGCGTTAGTCCTTCGCATCAGCCTCCTGTCTCCCTCAGAGGCTTCGGGGTTTTGTTTTTATATTCCTATTCCCTAGAATGCCCTCTTCCTCACTCTGCCCATCTGAGTCCTATTCATTCATTAAGCCTTATCATCTTTTAATGCATTTATTTCACAAGTTTATTGAATGCCCATTGCATGCCAGACATTGTACAAGAGAGTAGGAGTACAATATGGAACAAACACTGTCTTTTCCCAGAGGGGACTCAGGCTACAGAGGGACCCAGACAGAAAAGTGCTGTATAGGGTGATGATGGCTTTACAGGATGGCATGAGGATGCTTAGGATAGGACTCTAGCCCGTTAAATCTGCCCTCGTTGCTCCAGCCACATTGATCTTCATGTCCTATAACTGGCTATAAAATGTACATTCCCTTCATTCACTTTGAACAGCTTAATACATATCTACAGTCTCATTCTTACCTAACATACTGTTTTATGTATCTTTTTGTTCCAAGTAAAGAATAGCAGCAAATAGATTTTATCTTATATGTCTGTCCTAATCATTTGATAGTGGCTGGTTGTCTGCCTAGAGGGCTAAGTTTAGATTTCAAGGCCTTGTCTAGATTCAAAGAGAAAAAGTTAGTAAGTGTGGTGTGTGTCCTGGGCACTGCAGTGAGGAGTGGAGGCCTACTCTAGGATTACTATTTGTGAGGTTAGACACCCTCTTACACTTCGCATGTACTCTTCTCAGCATCGAGGAATCCCTTTAAGACATTATTTCAAGTGATCCTTGAAACAGCCTTGTGCAGTAAATAGAAACAGATATTATCTTCATGGACAACTGTGAATTGCTCTGAGAGATTAAATGATGATGATTAAACATCCAATGAGTGGAACCATAGGCCTTTCTGTTCCTGGCTCAGCTCTTCACTCTACCCCATACCTATGAGGCGTTATTCATCTTTATGATCCCAGAGCCTAACACAGCCTGGGACAAAGTAGGTGCTTACTAAATTATTTACTGAGTGAATGAGCAACGTTACCTGCCTCTTATACTATCATGCACAGCCATTGCTTTGATTCTTGATTGACTCACTGGACCATTTTTAATTCTCTCACAGTTCTGAAGGCCAGAAGTTCAAAATCAAGGTGTCACCAGGGATATTCTCCATCCAAAGGCTCCAAAGGAGAATCTTTCCTTGCCTCTTCCAACTTCTGTGGCTTCACGCCTTCCTTGGCTGTAGTTGCATCACTCCAATCTCTGCCTTCATCTTCACATGGTCTTCTCCTCTATGTCTTTTGTGAAGACGATTGTCATTGGATTTAGTGCCCACCTGGTTAATCCAGGACAGTCTCGTTTTGAGATCCTTAATTTAATTGCATCTGTGAAAACCCTTTTCCCAGATAAGGCTATGTTCACTAGCATCAGGGTTTAGGATTTGGATCTAACTTTTTGGGGACCACCTTTTAAGGTATAAGGAAATACATTTCTTTAGGCTTTATTTCTCTTAAAAAGGAGTGTGTGATTATTTTATGTCAATATTGCTACAATAAGAAAAAAACAAAAGCTCTCTTTTTAAGACAATGATTTATATATTTTATATTGTATTTTATTATATTATGTATTTTATATTTTGTATTAAACCAAGTTCTGATTCTAGCAGACAGGGCATATTTTCTTTTTTATTTATTTTAAGGCAGGATGTGCCTTTGGATTGAGATTTATGGCCTGACATGTTGTCAGGGGTTTGTGGCTTTTCCTTTTATTCTTTATAAGGAAGAAAAAGGGTTAATATTTTGAGGGTAATCCAAGTCACCCCCAAAATTTTCATGTCAAAAGGAAAATCTTTAAAAAGCAACATCAGCCCCTTTGCAACTATGTAATCATTTCAGATCCCAATCAATCCTTGCTTAACAAGTACCCTTACTTCCTGCCAGCTCTAGTCCTAATTCTTGACAAACAATTTATGCAACCTTGCAGGTTTTGTCTTTACAAGCCTCCCCCATTTCGTAGCAGAACACAATTCAGGTGCTTCTTGAATGTGTGTCTCCTGGGCTGTAGTCCTAACAAACCCCAAATAAACATCTCTAGGTTAAAAATAATTAAAAAGCAACACTAGTAAGAGAGACTTTAAAACAATCCCAATGTTGTTTTTCTCCACAGCTGTCAAAGAGGACTCGGTGGATGTCCGATCCTACATCGCTCGTTCCCTCATTGATGGCTTCGAAGGCCCCTCTGGGTACAGCCAGAGGTTTGGGCTGTACCACATCAACTTCAAGGACAGCAGCAGGCCGAGGACCCCCAGGAAATCTGCCTACTTTTTCACCAGCATGATCGAAAAGAACGGTTTCCTCACCAAGGTAGTAAAAAGACTGCCATCACCCAGTGTAGCAAACGTTCCTCGGAAAATCAGAGCCTTCAATTTTCCGTCCGAGGTGCCCTCCAAGGCTAAAGTAGTTTGGGAAAAATTCTCCAACCAGCCCAAATTTGAAAGGGACTTGTTCTACCATGGCACATTCCGGGATGACTTTCTGTGGGGGGTGTCCTCATCAGCCTATCAGATTGAAGGAGCTTGGGATGCTGACGGCAAAGGCCCCAGCATCTGGGATAACTTTACCCACACGCCAGGGAGCAACGTGAAAGACAATGCCACTGGAGATGTAGCCTGTGACAGCTATCACCAACTGGATGCTGATCTGAATATGCTTCGAGCTTTGAAGGTGAAGGCCTATCGCTTCTCCATCGCCTGGTCTCGGATTTTCCCAACTGGGAGAAACAGTTCTGTCAACACACATGGTGTTGATTATTACAACAGGCTGATTGATGGCTTGGTGGCAAGCAACATCTCTCCCATGGTGACACTGTTCCACTGGGACCTGCCCCAGGCCCTCCAGGATATTGGAGGCTGGGAGAATCCTTCCTTGATTGAGTTATTTAACAGCTATGCAGACTTTTGTTTCCAAACCTTTGGTGACAGAGTTAAGTTCTGGATGACTTTTAATGAGCCCACGTACCAGGCATGGATGGGGTATGGCTCAGGGGATTTTCCCCCAAATGTGAAGGACCCAGGCTGGGCACCTTACAGGATTGGCCATGCAATCCTCAAAGCTCATGCCACAGTCTATCACACTTATGATGAGAAATATAGGCAAGAGCAGAAGGGGGTCATCTCTTTGAGCCTCAGTACACACTGGGCAGAGCCCGAGTCACCAGGGGTCCTCAGGGACGTGGAGGCAGCTGACCGAATGCTGCAGTTCTCACTGGGCTGGTTTGCCCACCCCATTTTCCGAAATGGAGACTATCCTGATGCCATGAAGTGGAAAGTGGGGAACAGGAGTGAACTACAGCACTTAGCCACCTCCCGCCTGCCCAGCTTCACTGAGGAAGAGAAGAAATACATCAGGGCTACGGCCGATGTGTTCTGCCTCAACACCTACTCCTCCAGAATTGTGCAGTATGCAACACCTAACTTAAACCCACCCTCCTATGAAGATGACCAGGAGATGACCCAGAAGGAGGACACCTCCTGGCCTTCCACAGCACTAAACAGAGCTGCATCCTGGGGGATGCGAAGACTGCTCAACTGGATCAAGGAAGAGTATGGTGACATCCCTATTTACATCACTGAAAATGGAGCGGGGCTGACCGAGCCTGACCTGGAAGATACCAATAGGATATTTTACCACAAAACCTATATCAATGAAGCTTTGAAAGGTATGTGAGGGTTCATGTCCCCCTTACAAAATCTTCCAGTATCCATGTCATGTGCCTGAAATGGTTTGACAGAGTGGATTACAAACCATTAACAAGTCTCTCTTTCATACCCTGATTCCATAATTCTTTCCCTTTCTGGGGTTACATATGCCTTTGGGATTCTGAAAAAAAAAAGGCTTGTTCATCTCCCCAAGTGTACACACAGAGTCCCACAAGAGTATTTTCACAGGTCCATTCATTCATTATTGAGCAACTACTATGTGACAAGTTCTATCCTAAGTGCTGGGGACACAGCAGTGAACAACACAAATAATTTTCTGCTGACATGGAGCTTATATTCCTGTGGGTCCCATGCAACCCAGAGCAATCAACTCTTCTCTAATTCACATTTCTTTGTTTAATTTCTAAAGTGGGTTGAGATTCTTGAATTTCACAGATGTCCCTTTTACCCCCAACAAAACAATTTGCTTTTGCAAAGATCAGTCATTAGTACTTGCTATGGGGGCATCAGTGTTCACAACAAGAAAGAGAGAAGATGATCTGCCTTTCAGGGCACACGTTACTGTGTGTACAGGTTGATGGTTGAGGACTACCTGAACCAAGGAGCCAGACTGTGGCTGGGCTTCTTGGGATCCCGCCCCTCCCTGTGTAAAGCTCTCCTCTGCTCCCTCTGGAATGTTCCCAGCCTACAGGCTTGATGGTGTTGACATTCGAGGATATGCTGCATGGTCTCTGATGGACAACTTTGAATGGCTGAATGGCTACACAGTCAAGTTTGGATTGCACCATGTTGATTTCAATAACGTGAATAGGCCTCGCACAGCAAGAGCCTCCGCCAGATACTACATGGAGGTAATCACCAACAACGGCATGCCACTGTCCAAGGAAGACGAGTTTCTATATGGACAGTTTCCCGAGGGCTTTATCTGGAGTGCGGCTACCGCTGCATATCAGGTGAGGAGTGGAGGGCAGTTCAACATCTACTGCATACCTACTGTGTGTCAGACTCTGGGCTCAGGGCTGGGGAGGCAGGCGGGAGCAGAGGATTTTCATGGACCTGCAGGCGGGAAGTATGGGTGCCTTGAGGAGAGTCTGGGAGGCCCTCTTCCCAGACAGCCTGACTTCTTCACATGCCCAGATTCAGGTAGACCAGCGCAGTTACAAGAGTTGTGCTGAGATGGGTGGTAGCAGGTGGAGCCTGGCAGAAACATTTAGGCAAAGATATGCAAATATGAAGATTCTCTGCTGGACACCTTTATTTCTCACCTAGCCTCTTCTAAGCAGACAGTTTGGTCAAAATGGCTATCACGTAGGCATGAGCTTTTTTTGATGTCCTAACAACATCATACCCTTACCTTATCTGTGCTAAATGAAGCTCACCGATGCAGAAAATATGAGGATTTAGTTTTCCTCAGAAAAATGAAAGCTAAAAAATGAAGAGCGATTTGCCCAGGCAGTTAGTGGGTGGGACCCTGCTTTACATCTGCTGCCTCGATTTATTTTCTTTGTTACAGGAGTGGGGGCTCTATATGCTTAGTGTGGAACCTGGGCAGTAGTCAGTGGTGTGAGCCTACCTGACCCTGACTCTGGACTTCTTAGCCCTTGGATTTTTTCCTAGGTGACCATAGCTGCTTGTAATATTTCTGAGGAAGGTGAGGGTGACTACCCCCAGGCAACGACACTACCAAGGTATAATGAAGTCTCAGACCAGATTCTGTCATATCCAGACATATGTTAACTAAGTGCACAAACACAAAAGGTGCTCATGTATCCTGTTGTGTGGCCTGGAAGAAACCACAGTTCTTGTTCCTCTTTGGTGCTCTGGCCAACACTGAACATGAAAGGTTCACTTGAGGAAATGCCGGGATTTCAGAGACAGGAAGGATCCTGTTACTCTTACGTGAGGCAAACAGAATCCTCTGTAGCAGGGTTTCTCCAACTTGGCCCGATTGACATTTTGGATGGATCATTCTTTGTTGTGGGCTTGTCCTGTGCACAGTAGGATGCTTAGTGGCATCTGTGGCCTCTACCTACTAGATGCCAGTAGATTCCTCCCCCAATTGTAACAACCAAAAATAGTTCCAGACATTTCTAAGTGTCTCCATGGGGACAAAATAGCCCCTGGGTGAGAACCACTGCCCCACAGGTTTACAGCTGGACTTATTTATTCTAGGGCAAGGGTTGGGGATTTATTCTAGCGCACAGGCTGTAGGCTTGAATCAGTTATTACTATAATAGTTGGCAAATGGTGATTTTCCAAATTCATTATTTGTTTTCTGTTTATTAGGTGGCATTCAACAGAAAGATTCAGTTTTGTCTTTTCTCCTACTTATCTATCTATATTTTATATTTAAATATATATTGATACGTATCATCAGTATGACCTCATGAAGTCCTATGTTCTTCCAATGGGTTATACTTTTGCCATTATTGTCTATGTAGATGCTTAAATCATCCCATAGTTTGCTGGTGGATTATCTTAGCTGGGTCTTGTGTCCTTTTGACATGGCCCATTGTTCTTTGAACACTTTCTTAATTCTTTCTGGTGCAACAAGATATTTAAGCTCATCTTGTATCTTTTCTGCTCCAGCCCTGTAATCAGTCATTTCTCTAATGAGCCCTGGTTTGTTTTATTGGATAAGGGCATTTAGAAACCAAGATCTGGGTGCTAGGTGTACTCACTGCTACTGGGGGGGTCACCGGTACTCACTGCTACTAGGCTCTCTCAGTGGACAGGGCACACACACATACACGTGCGCATACACTTTTATGTATTTCTACATCCACCCACATCTTTACCTGTGTTAAAAAACACATTGATACCTCCAATTCCAATCCAACTCCACGGGGTTAATGCTAGCCTTCCCACTTTTCATATTTGTATCTCCTTTCTCCAATGATGAAGAATCTAGCTCCTAATAGCCTCAACATAGTTACTAATTTGCTCAGTCCCCCTGCAGTAGTCTCCCAACCACTGAGCGATCTTTCCACCCAGATGGCCCACAAGGTGCACTCCTTGTGTGCAGGCCAAGCCTGGACATGCGTTCTTGGTTGGGATGCCAGTACTACTTTAGCTGCAGCCAGTCAGAGTATCATACTGCATGTGCTGAAGTATTGCAAAAGAGCAGGCACAGAAAAAGTGACACACATCCTGATTAGAAACCCTGCCTCCACATCTGGCATCACTGGGATTTATTTGTTCAGTCAGAATTTTAGTGAGCACCGCCATACACCAGACACCACTGCATTGACTGCTGGGCCACCAAAATGAAAGACACAGTGCCTAGACCTCAGTCTTGCAGGAAGCAAGCCAGTCAGCAAGTGCATAATAGCATAGTGCAGCATGACAGCACCATGATGTACAGAAGTGTGTACAGGAAGCTGTAGGAGTTCAGAAATCAGGGGGTGGCCAGAGAAGGTGATGGCAACTTGTGTCCTGACCCAGGATTCACCCACTGACCCAGAAGAGCTTGACTGCATGACTTAATTAATCCATGTCTTGTCGTCTTAAGATCGAAGGTGGGTGGAGAGCAGATGGCAAAGAACTCAGTATTTGGGACACGTTTTCACACACACCACTAAAGATTGAGAACGATGACACGGGAGACGTGGCCTGTGACAGTTACCACAAGATTGCCGAGGATGTGGTTGCCCTGAAGAACCTGGGCGTGTCCCACTATCGCCTTTCCATCTCTTGGACTCGCATCCTCCCTGACGGAACCACCAAGTACATCAATGAAGCAGGCCTGAACTACTATGTGCGGCTCATCGACGCGCTGCTGGCTGCCAACATCCAGCCCCAGGTAGGTTGGGTCCTGACCAGGCCTTGGCCAAGTCCACACAGGGCAGCCAGCTGGGCTGGGGAGCACATTTATTGTGTAAACAAAATGCTGTTTTCACATTTAACTTCGAATTGTCAATAAAGATTTTCCTTCTATCCCTGACCCCTAGCCATCCATTCCCCTCCTTACAAGCAACCAAGTTTGCTGGGTTCTCATGTCCTTTTGCGTGTGTAACCAGTACATGTGTGTATATGTGTGTGTATATTCCTTTTCGCCTCATTTTTCCTGATGGTGCAATACATGCAGTTTGGCACTTGCTTTTATTTAACAATAGTTCTTACAGATATTTCCATACAATACGTAGGTTTTTTGTTTTTGGTTGTGTGGAAATTGTACCTTACTTCTCTAATCACTTCCCTGTCAATGGACACTCTTCCCTGTGATGTCACACTTTTTCCATTATAACCAACACTGTGATAAGTAAGCGTAGACACATAATTACACCAGAGTGGAAGTTTATCTGTAGGATGAAGCCCTAGGAACAGAAGTGCTGAGGCAAAAGTGCATGTGTTTTTAAGCCCTGACTTACTATGAATAATAATAAAGAAGCTCATGTATGGGCTTCCTTTGCTGTCACCAGAACTTTAAATTTTACTTGGGAGCCTAAGAGCATTTTTCCTTTTCCTCTGGGCCATTTATGATAAAAGGCTAGAGAGCACTAGTTCTGTGATACTGTGTTTCCTTTGCTGTAGTGGCTGGAGATTGTGCACTGAAACCAGAGCATAACCTTCGTGTTATAACCTGCCTCTTCCCACGCTCAAAGCAGTTTTTTACAAATAAAAGTGCAATCTGGACTTCTTTCCTTACACTGGTAGCACTGCAGGAACGAATCAGCCAGGCAGCATTGATTACAGTGAGTGTGAGTGCCAGCTGTGATGAGAGGGGATGGCCCGTGGCCCCCTGCAGGACCCCAGGAGCTGGGTGGACAAGGAGATCCATTACACACAGCCATTCAGAACAACATCAGAGACAGCAGAACTCAGGGCTAAACAAGTTTGTATCTCTCGAGGGAATTGAGACATCACAGAAAGGAAAAGCACTTTAGCCAGAAAAGTTTCAAGGAGGTGTGAGTCTTGAATAAAGTCATTTTGATCAGTGGGCAGGCAGGGGAGGGCATTTTCAGCAAATGGAGAGACTGGGTCTGAGCTGAAGAGGGTCCACAGCCCATTGCAGATTTAGGACGGTGGAGACCCCTGTGTGACCAAGATGAGGTCTGTCAAGAGCATCAGGGAGGAGGTCAGGAGGGAGAAAAGGCCACCATGTGGATGTTGCCAGAGGAACCCCTCTCCAGCGAAGGGATCCCAGCTCCACAGGAAGACCCTCCAGACACATTAGATGTCCTTGGGGGGCCCTTTACAAGAATGCCTCCATCCCCCTGATACCCTCAGAGCCTCAGACTCTAGTGCAGTCTATCCAGGAGGTTCTGAAGCTCTAGCATTTCTGATCCCCGACTACAACCATTGCTAACACTTGCAGAAGAGCTGGCAGGATGTCCACCACTTTTCATGTCCTCTGCCATATGATTTAGGCCTCACACTGGTTTCTGTGACATGGAGGTCTTTGTGTCTGAGCCCAGGGTCACACAGCTGGTAGACTGCAGAGCTGGGGCTCAAACCCTGGTGTCTCTGATGAAGATGTATGAATTTCTCCCGCTTCAGCAATGCTGTCCTCCCCCTCCTACCAAAGAACCTTTGGGCCTTGTCTCATCATCCATCCTCAGCTTAAGCAGTAGACGTTTATGCTGGTGCGTGAGCATCAGTATCTTCCCATGAAAAGCAGGTTGATGGAAGTGCTGATCTTGCTTTCTCACAGGTGACCATTTACCACTGGGACTTGCCCCAGGCACTCCAGGATGTCGGAGGCTGGGAGAATGAGACAATTGTGCAGCGGTTTAAGGAGTATGCAGAAGTACTCTTCCAGAGGCTGGGGGACAAGGTGAAGTTCTGGATCACACTGAACGAGCCCTTTGTCATTGCTAACCAGGGCTACGGCTATGGCACAGCAGCTCCAGGTAAAGTTCTCAGACCCCACTTGTCAGCTCTTCGGAGCGTGACATTCTTAGCACCATGAAGACATGAGGTCCAGGTGGCCCTAGAGGAGGAGGCTGTGAGAGGCACAAGGCATTGCCTCAGAAGCCCTGCCCCCTGCCCAGGACTGACTGAGCAGAGCTTCCCTCTTCTGACACTGCTTTTGCTGAACATAAACTTCACACCTCGATATTTCCAAATGGCTTCAATTCTTTGCTGTCTCTGTGCTTCTGAGCTGCCTCAGGTGGGAAGCTCCCTGAGATCAGGAATGTGGGCTAATCAATATAGGAAATGATGCTTCGTCAGACTGTGCAGATCCAGTATCTTCTGCAGTTCCAAAATGTGGACGTTTCCAGTATTCAGTTTGGCTGATGTGGGCTTAACATGAATTGAACCCAATGTGAGGTTGACATCCCACTTAGTGTGAACATTTTAAAGTTCTGCCAGAGGCAGATTAGTATGCTCATTCCTGAGAGCTGTTCTGGGCCCTGCTGGTGTGATATATATATTATATGCTACTTACTACTTTTCTAAGACCCCAAAACCTTTTAATTCTAAAACATATTGGACCCTAGGAGTTTTAAATAAGGAGTTGTGGACGTATCCTTTTCCCTTGAGAACCCTCCAATTTTCCTTTACTGTAGTTCTGAGCCTTGAGAGTAAATTTGTATTCGTTTGTGTGATTTCTTGGGATTACATGTAAAAACTGGAAAGAGCCATAGGGAGATCTGCTTCAACTTATTACCGGATATATCTCCCATTGGTCCTTGGTTGGTGCTTTGGTTTACTGTTCCTTCAACAAGCAAGAGTCCGCTCATAACACTTGCTCTCAAGGAATCTCCGTGTCAGCTGCTCTCATCGACTATACTCTCCAACTCTTACTCTCACTGTGGGTCCCCAAAGAGTACCCAGATGTCACCTCCTGAGGCACACACTCTTCTGGGGACTTTGCCTGAGACATATGAGCCACTCTTTGGGTGAGGGGGACAGAAACCATCATCTATCAAGTGTGTTCTGTTTGCTAGGCACGGTGCTGCTGGGTGCTTCACACACACTATTTCATTTCCTTCTCAGAGGAATTCTCTATTGCTCATTTTGCAGAGAAGGAAACTGAAAGGCTGAATTACTCACCCAAAGTTACATGGCCAGCTAGTAAGGAGTGGAGCCAGGATTTGAATTCCATTCTTCCTCAAGCCAAATCTGCAGTCTTTCTCCCAAACACACAGAGGCCATCTATAGGCAGAGACTGATATTCTTGGCCACATTCCTTCTTTGTTGACATCTATGTGTGTATTTCCAGGAATCTCCTTTAGGCCTGGCACTGCCCCCTACATCGCTGGCCACAACCTAATAAAGGCTCATGCTGAGGCCTGGCATCTGTACAACGATGTGTATCGTGCCAGTCAGGGTGGCAAGATTTCCATCACCATCAGCAGCGACTGGGCTGAGCCTCGAGACCCATCCAACCAGGAGGATGTGGAGGCAGCCAAGAGATATGTTCAGGTGTGTTTTTACTCTGGGCATTGTTATTATTCTTGTTCTTTTCCCTTCCTGTCATGATCTAATAAAATAGAATTAGATTGTGAGACAGATTTAGGATCAAAGCCCTGTTTTGCTAATACCTTACTTTGTGAACTTGGGAAAATCATCTAACCTTTTTGTACCTTAGTTTTCTCATCTTTGAGATGGAGGTGACCTAACTACCTCAAAGGTTTGCTGTGATGAAATTTCTTTGAGGTTGAGTTTTCTTTTAAGTCTTAAAAGATTATTTGTATGTGTAGCTGTTACTGGATGTAACACTGGCTTAAAGCTAAATAATAGAAATTCTCTTCCATCAGTGGTTTGTAGAACTGGACTGCAATGTCACACTTCACCTCTAGGTGTCACCACCTAATTTTATTTACTCTGCCTAAGAATTCCTTTAAGTTGAGGACTTCATATTCTATGAAACTCATTGATTAATGCCCCTAATTTTCCAATTCCATGAGTCAAACATACGGACATATCTTTCGGTCATGGAATTTTTCTCCTAGGAAGTAGAGACACCAGTGAGCAGGTGCAACAACACAGCCCACCGTTATTTCAGTCTGGGTCGCTAAAAGAGGACAGGGAGAGAATGGTGCTCTTCATGGTATAGCTTTTCCCTGGCCCCTGCTGGTGTCTCTGAAGGGGTTAGAAGGCACCCTCTCCCATGTTTCAGAATCAGGGAAGGCAGACAAGGATCTCTCTCTCCAGATTGGTCCCCATTTTTTGGCTTTGAGGAGGAGCCTGCAGACTGTAGCATTTTGAGAGGACATCAAGGGCCTTGGTTTCCCAAATTCTTCACAGGACAACTTGACAAAGGTGCTCAAATTAATAAGTGCAAATGAAAGCTTAATGTCCCTGTTTGCTAGCCAGCTGGGGGAAAAGCCTTGCAACAAAATTAATGCATTCCCTCATTGCAGACTCACAGAACTGATGAATTAGAGTGTTTTTCTGAAATCAGAGAAAACCTCAGGAAATGTTAGGCTGTAGTCTCATTATCACAGCTTGCTGGTGAACTGTGATACTGCAGCCCAGGACTATGGTAAAATCAGCTTGCCTGGAGACAACTTCTTACCTCCGAAAGCACTGAAGCCTCTTTTACCAGAGCGAGTGTGTTCCAAGCCTCGTCTCTGACTGAGAATAGAAGGCTGTCCTCACCCCACATTTCAGGCAGCAGCCAGCAGGTAAGGGGAGGATGTGGAGAGACAGAAACCCCTCAGGACCCACAGTGTCATAGCACTTGGGTGCAATGTATACCCACTAAGGGTAAGGATGGCCTAGACCTCCTTCAACAAAAAGACTGAGGGGGTGGTATAGCTCAGTGGTAGAGTGCATACTTATCATGCATGAGGTCCTGGGTTCACTCCCCAGTACCTCCACTTAAGAAAAAGTAAAAAAGGGACTGAAAAGTTCCCCACTTTAGGGCTGTGAATCCAAAGCCCATGAAGAATCATCCTTTGCCTGGGCAACCAGGAGAGCCTTGCATCTCCGGCCTCCCTAGAAGGTTCTGGTGGGTCCTTAGGTGTGAGGATGGGGAAGGACCTGCTGCTTTCCGGTAAGAGAGGGAATCAGGGCCTGGAGGCTGGGAGTCTCTCCCCCTCTTCAGCCAGGCAGCATCTATCAAGTCCAGGGCCCGTGCCCAATTCAGTTCATGTCCCTCAGGCTGTAGTGGTTGAGAACATGGCCCTGCCCCCAGTGAGCTCCCAGCAGGGTGAAAAGACCTGTGGGCATTTAAGCTGCAGCAGGCGGACAGCCGCAGAAGAGATGAGAGTTTAAGATTGGGTTGGGGAGAAGGGGTCCTGGGGTCAGGAACTCTTGAGCAGGGAGGCTGCCATCTCCTGTAGGCCTGCCTGTTAATGCTGAGGCTGACTGTCCCCCCAACTCCGCCCGCAGTTTATGGGAGGCTGGTTCGCACATCCTGTTTTCAAGAATGGAGATTACCCTGAGGTGATGAAGACACGAATCCGTGACAGGAGCTTGACCGAAGGCCTCAACAAGTCTCGGTAGGTCCCGGCACTGTGCGAGCAGCCAGGAGAGGCTCAGGAGGAAGTCTGGTCTGCAGTGCCCACTGAGGCTTCTGGGTAGACAGCGCAGTGACAAGAGCAAGGCTGTTGGGGTGGGAGAGGCATGTCTTAGGCAAGTTACTCTCTGAGCTTCCTTGCTTGCTGGGAAGATTGGACACGAGTGTGTATGTGAAGCTCTTAGCCCAGGACCTGGCACTGCTCTGACAGGCAGATGAGACCAAAGGCAGTCTTCTTCAGAAAGGCCAGGAAATCCGTCCCCAGGGAACCCACTTAGCATCCCACTGCCCACTCCAACAACAAATTCCCCAGCTCATCCTAACCTGTCTCATCCACCCTAGGAATAAATGTGGAAAGCAGTAAGTGACTTTTTGTGGATCTGAGTACTTTTTGTCATTTGGCCAGTAGGTGGCAGTAGCTTGCACAAAAGCAGTCCTACTTCCTGTCAAGGAAGTAACAGCCACATCAGCAACAGCTCACACTTAACCGTCTTCCATTGGCACTTTTATTCCTGTTTAAAGATGAGTAATCTGAAGCACAATGATTATGGCAAGATCACCCAGCTGTTAAGTAATGGAGCTGGAATTTGAAAGCAGGCTGTCTGACGGCAGGGCCCTTGCTCGCCTTAAGAGTCATCCAGCTGGGAGTTGAGGTGTTTGGTGGGGAAGGCGACGGAGTCACCTGGCCTTCTGGGAATATACTCACAAGCTCCAGGTTAGCTCATGTGACCATAAGGGGAGGGTAAAAGGAATTCAGAAGGTAAGCATTCCTAACACAGCCTTTGAGTTTTATACAGCCGGGCTGTGAGGATGAAATTATCCGTCCCCACCCTTACAACGCATGCATGTGCTGGTCTGGTTAGGGCAAGTCCTGCTGAGCCAAAATGTATGATCTATCAACCCCAGTCTCCAGCAAGCAAGCGAGTGCTCCAGTCCACCAACACAACCTTGCTGAGCACCTACCAAGCCAGGGCTAGGCCTAGGAGGGTCTACACAAGGAGGAAATTCTAAGTATGGTTCCTCAAGTTGCTGACACTGGCTGGGTAGACAGTGACCTTCATCATACGAAGGAATTCTTTTCCCCAATTTCTTCACGTAACAAAAACTCAGATGAGATCAGGGCAGGCTGGGTGGACCCAGGAGACTTCGTGGACAAGGCAGGATATCAGCTGAGCTGGGCCTTGACAATGAACAGCATTTGGGAGAGCAGAGGGCCTTCCATCCACGGGGGTGGGTGTGTGCACTGGCTTAGAGGTAGGAATGAATGGGGCACCTGCAGCTGGTTGTGGGGAGACTGGCCCAGCAGCAGTGGGGTGGCCAAGACCACATGGTGGAGGGCCTGGAGGCCAGGCACAGGGGCTTGGCCTTGATGTCACAGGCCCTGAGCAATCACTGCTGCTCCTGAGCAGGGAAGTGAGGGGCGTGAGGGGAATGAGGGGGCTGGGCCTTGGTTTTCTCTCAGCATTTCAGAAACCCCAGAGAGGTTTTGATCCCCAGTTAATGGTAGCAGAAAGGTCAAGATGAAGTGTCAGCCACCTAAGCAGGGTAATCTCTAGGCAACCCTAAACTTGCAGCCTGTAGCCAGGATTTGGCTGAGAGGAACCTGTAAGTGCTGCACACAAGTGCATGCTAACCAAATTATTATAGAAAAGTCTAAGAATACATGGAAAATGCTCCACCAGATGTTTAAAAAGCATAATCATGTGAGCAGGTAAGTCCGCATCTCAGAAGTTCAATCAAGTCAAGTCTTATTGAAGGACAGACTTTGGAGAAAAGAGGCATGCCTAAACAAACCAGAGTAAAAACTTCCAACAGGAAGAGGTTTGGTAACAACAGAGGGAAGCGAGGTCTGTGGTCTGGAAGACTCAGGTGCTTTCAGCAGCAGCTGGAAGGGCCTCACTGCCCCATAGTCACCTCCGGGTACCGGCCCTGCCCTAGGACATTCTCTTCCCAAATTCCCACACCCTGAATGACTCCTTCCACCCAGGCTCCCCGAGTTCACGGAGAGTGAGAAGAGGAGGATCAATGGCACCTATGACTATTTTGGATTCAATCACTACACCACTGTCCTGGCCTACAATCTCGACTATGCCTCTTGGATCTCTTCCTTTGATGCAGACAGGTATGGGGACCTGGAACAATCTTTGGAAAAGATAGCAAAGTGCTCCTCGCCTCTTACTTGGAGGCCTGTACAGCCTCAGAAAACTGCCTATGCCATATATCCTGGGGTTTGTAAGATGAGCCCCATCTCCTGAGATACCTTATAGAACCTCAGTCAGTCGGACGGTAACACAGGATGGGATTTCCAAGACGCCTTCCATTGAAGCAGACATGCTTGGAGTTTTTTTTAAAAATGTTTAGGGAACTGTGTCATTTCAGAAGTGTTTATATGTGTGTATGGGTATAGTACCTCTCTCTTTATATATATGTTTATATTAAATATAGTTTATATAGTATATATTTATACAGAAAAGTATGTTTGTTATGAAAAATCAGAATTGTATGTATACACACTATTTTGTTCCTTTTCTGAGAAGCATCTTTCCAACTGAGTAGCTATGAACCTGTCCAGGTTCATTCTTTGAAAACAAGCGCAGACACCCCACTGCACCCTGCCACCACCAGTCAGGCTTGCTGAGAAGGCTCCCAGTTCACGCACCCACTTGACACTTGCTGCCTCATTGTCCTGGAACCGTCTCCCTAGGAACCTGTGCTCAAGCTTATGAAATGCCCCACATTCAAGCTGAGCAAGATAAATCCAATAGAACTAAACAGTTTTTTTCCTGAGGGATCTAGACGTTCAGAAGTATCTAAATGGCTGCCCCATTTTTTGAAATGCATGACTCTCAAGACACTGGAGCCCCTGTGCCTGCCCCAGCAGAGCTCCTCCGGCACAACGTATTGCCCATCACTGGAGAGGAGGGAGTTGGGCATTTGAGGGAGGCAGGTCCCAGTGTATCTGCCTCATCATCACACAAATGGGGGCCCAAATATTGGTGACTGTGACTGTGCCTGTGGCCCGCGTGTAGCACTGACCAGATGTTGGTGACTCAAGGGAGCCCATTCTCTGAAGACATAGCACTCACATCCCATGGGAGATTGCGGTAATCAGCCCTTTCACATCCAGCGAGGTGTGGCCTGTTAAGAGAGCCACGGAGGATCAGGTCCATGAGTAAGACCCTTTCTCTATACAGGCGGAAAGCTGGAACAGTTTGGGTTGTCTGTCCCAAGTTACATCAGCACCGAGCGGTGCCATTTGAACTTGTGGAAAGAGGCAAATTTGAGGCAATTTGACTCTTCTTAGTTGTGACTCTCAAGCCTAGACAAAAATCTAAGGTTTTTTTTCTAGTATAAATCCTGTTTTATGCTTTGTGCAGAGGGCCTGTTGGGATTTACAAATTGAGACCTAATCCTTCGCATTTGAACTCGTAGGGGCGTTGCCTCTATCACAGATCGCTCTTGGCCAGACTCTGGCTCCTTCTGGCTGAAGATGACACCTTTTGGCTTCAGGAGGATCCTGAACTGGTTAAAGGAGGAGTACAACAACCCCCCGATTTATGTAACAGAGAATGGTGTGTCCCAGCGGGAAGAATCGGACCTCAACGACACTGCAAGGATCTACTACCTCCGCAGTTACATCAATGAGGCACTCAAAGGTATGACAGGCCCCCGCCTTCCTCCACGCACACCTTTCACTGTTGGAAACATCTGCTAATGTCTGCAGTCAGGGTGGTACTACATCCATGAGCCCCCAAATGAGAAAGATGAGGCTACCAACTCCTATTGAGGTTAAGCCTTTTTGAGGTCTGTAAGGCTAAGACTTTTCCTTCTTAGATTTAAGCTCTGCAAGCAAACCCAGTTACCTGATACAGCTAGACCTGAATTCCCGGCCTGTCATTTGCTCTGCTTGATCTTCTGGCATTGATGTGTCTGAATAGCAGCGCCCTCCTGAGGACAGTGTGGGCAGGGGTCAGGAGAAACGGGCTGGAGGGGTTGTCTCTAGGGTCTTTAGTTCCCCAAGCAAAAGTTTGAGATCCTTAGCTCAGCAAAACAACCTGGGATGGAACTATGACAAGGGAATGGTGAGTGATGCTCAGTAAAGGAAAATGAGCACTTCAGAAGCAAAAAGAAACCATTATAAAAGCTTATTCTAGCGAAAATCCTTTCCAAGGGCCTCTTCTTTTCTATATGGAAGAGCGGTAACACTCCAAGGCCCTGACCAACACCAGTGTCCCAAGATGTGAAGACAGAGAGCATTACAGATGACCCAGTAGGATTTAGTCCATCCCTGTTCCTGACTCCCATTCAGGACCAGGCCACTCTAGAAAGATGTGGATGGCTCAGCAGGCAGCAGCACCCACAGAGAAGCAGCGGACAATTCCTGCATATAAAAAGGGTGGGCAGCTCTCCCAAAGAGCTAAAAAAAAAAACACCTCACCTTGACCTGCAAGTGGGGACTGTGGGAGAACTACGGGCAGGCATGGACCCAGCAGGTCTGGTGGAAAGGTGTCCTGGAAGAAAAGGGAAGTTCATACAGGGGTCTCTGGTTTGGGCAGCTGTGCAGGATAAGGTGGACCTTCGAGGATACACGGTTTGGACTCTGATGGACAACTTTGAGTGGGCTACAGGCTTCACAGAGAAGTTTGGTGTGCATTTTGTGAACTACACTGACCCTTCTCTGCCAAGGATCCCCAAAGCATCAGCCAAGTTCTACGCCTCCGTAGTCCGGTGCAACGGCTTCCCTGACCCTGCTGCAGGGCCACACCCTTGTCTCCAGCAAGAAGGTAAGATGTGGCTCTGAGAGGGACAAAACCCAAAGGGTGAGGAGGCCTTTTTCAGCCTACCTTCTTCTAGTTTACTAGCCTCCTCTCTGCTTCTCCATCCCCTTCATTCATTCAACCACTATTTATTTTCTCTGAATGCTCCAGACATCCTTAGGATGGAACAAAGGAATTTAGGGTTAAAGTTACATATACAAACTAGGCCCTGGTCTGGGAACAGCAGGTCTAGGTGCTTGTCCCAGCCTGACGGCTAACTTGCTTTGAAACCTTCGGCAAGAAACTAGGCAATTCCTGGGCTACTGCAAGGATCAAATACAACGACTTTAAGAATGCAATGCCTGGCACACTGTAAGGTGCCCAATATTTGCCGAATGACTAAAAAAGTGTTAATTACTACATAAATTAAGAGGCAGTTATGCACTTTAGATTCTACTGTAACCATTTGTAGAGATGTTTAAAAACTAAAACTGCGTGACTTCATTCAGAGGCTCCTAAAACTGAAAAGGATGCACATGACCTTAGCAATGCGCTCACCCTGGGTACCTGTGTAGCTTTTGCACTGAAGGATCTGGCTGGAGCTTGATCAGTTAACACAGATCCAAGAACAACATCTGTACTGGTGCACACACCACCCTTTGTTGTCCTCTCCTAGGTGCTGAGCCCACTGTCAGCCCCATGGAAAAGGAGGGCGTTCAGTTCCTGGGGTTGACGCTGGGTACGACAGAGGCCCGGACAGCGCTGTACGTACTCTTCGCTCTTATGCTTCTTGGAGTCTGTGTTGTGGCATTTCTGTCCTATAAGTACTGTAAGCGCTCCAAGCAAAAGAAAACACCATCAGGTGAACAGGAATTGAGCCCTGTTTCTTCATTCTGACCCACAAATTACCACCTCCTCCAGTTCTACAAAACAGGCCTAGTTTCTTTGCAAGCCTTTGACACCCCCAGGATTCTGTACGATCTTATACGCTGCCCTTAAAGGACTTCTTTGTAAAACCCTCTGCTCTGTTAGAGACTAATCTGATCTTGAAGGATTTCAAGTCCCTCATTAAGGTAGAAACATCACCATCTTGCCCCAATATCAGGAATTCGTGTGGACATTAGACAACCCTGCAAGTGGCTCTTGTGGAAACATGTAGAAACTGAACTCGTCTGTCTACTGATTCTGTGAGCCACTTAATTCAACTTAACTGGGCTGTTTTAATTTTCAGAGATTTTAAAAGTGAAAACACGAGTAAAAACCATAGCAATCTTTTTCATAAAAAGTCAACTGCAGTGTCACCTCCTGCCCTCTCTCTTCAAGCTCCTTCCCAGCCTCTTACCGTGTGTGTCTCAGAAACTAAAAAATGAACCGTTAACTGTATCCTATCTCCTATGGGTGCTTCTCCTTGAGAAAGTTATGAAGCCACACAACCCATTTAGGGTTTCTAAGCTTTTCCATCAGACCCAGACCTAGAGTCCTTTATGTCTTTACAAATACTATTCCTTCTGCCTAGGGTCTCCTTTCTTCTGAAAAATGCTTTTTAGTCTCAGCTTAAACAATGTACTTTTCCCTCTGGATGGCTGCCCTGAATTCCACAGAGTCCCTCCTTCCTCTACTTTGCTTGCAAAATCCCCTGTTCTAGCTTGACCACATTCTACTGGAACTGCCTATTTCTCTATTGGCTTCTTGAGGCCAAAAGACCATGTCTCACTGCCTGTGGCAAGCACACTCTAGAGACAGGGCAGAGAAAGCCACCTGCTCCTTTTGTGTGTTTGTTCACAAAACATACACAGAGTAGTCGTGGGAGCACAGAAAAAGATGTGGTCTTTATCAGTTCCCCTCAAATGTGCTAATGAGACCACCATGGCTTAAAAACTTATTTGGTCTATATATTCTTTCTAGATAGATAACTGGAAAAAAATTTTTTTAAATCAGAGTAGTTTTCAACTGGTTTTAAAAGGGTGATTATGCTTGAAATTTCATTTCTCATAAGCATTCCTACCTGAATTGTATCTACAGCAAATTCTAATTAAAATTTTCCACTATGAGGGCCCCCAACCTGACATTCAGAAACCTGTCGTGCACAAGCATTTTTCTCCCACTGATAGGAAAAGTTTATCAGATGAGGTGAAAGTGGTTCTAAAATTGTATTAGACATTTCTTGGGCAAAAAGATTCACTCAGTATTATAAGTTGTCAATGATACCTCAATCTCAAAATTCAACATAACTTTTCTTGGGGAGAGACATGGAAAAAAATAATATAAAGTTTACATGAAATAAACTTGAGCCAGGATAAATGTGGGGGGGGTAAGAATAGTAAGGCAAAGCTACCTATAATAAGTAGTTTCGAAGCAGAGAAAGAATCAAAAAGATCAACAAGGAAAAGAGTGTAGACACAAACCAGCTACATGTGGAGACGCACGGAGTGCGCGACAGCGACAGCATGTCAGTCAGAGGAGCGGGATGGTGGCCCACTCCATAAATGGAGATGGGTCACAGGTTAGCTCTTAAGGATGTTAGCCTCAGGCAGGGGAAAGGAGCCACAACCCTTACTGGGATACAAGATGTACATGAAAAGAAAAACAGAAAGCCATGAAAATGCTAGAATATAGAATACATGGGTGAATTTCTTTAAAATTACTTTTTAAAGTGGGTAAGGTATTTTATAAGCAAGATTTAAGACTCAGAGGCCATAAAGAAATACACTGAAAAATATGACCACATAAAAATTGTGGCAAGAAATTACCATCAACATACTCATCAAAAGGAAGGGAGAAAATATTTACAGCATATATTAGACAAAGGCTAATTAGTGTACAATTCTTATAAATCTAATGAAATTCTTATAAATCAATAAGAAAAAGATGAAAAACACAAAATGAGAACTGGAAAATAAAATCAGCAGTTCTCAGAGAATGAATCGAAATGACCAATCATATTAAAAGAGGCTCAACTTCCTTCATAACCAACACAATGCACATAAAATATATAGTTTTTCACTTAGCACGCTGACAAAGATGAGAAAGTATAATATGGCAAGGGTGTGGGGAAATCAGCATTCTCCTACACTGTGAGTGGGGCTGTAACTCCACAGAGCCTTTTGAGAAGGCAATTTGGCAGCATCTTTTATAATCCAAACTGCGAGCATCCTTTGACTCAGCGACTTACAGGTATATTTTCACAGCTGAGATACCTTCCCAAAGATGTTCACTATAGCAATGTTTATAATAGAAAAACAGAAACGAGCCAAAAAATTGTAATAACCAATGGACACCACCAGAAAATCAGTAAATTAGGGAACATTTATCAAGCAAAATGCTATGCAGATACTATTAAAAATGAGGTGTGTTGATGGGGAAAGACCTGTGTACACAAAAAAGCAAGATGCAGAGTAGTATACAGAAAATATGATCCCCTTTAAAAAATAAAGACATACTTGCCTATATATGCATAAAATTTTTCTGAAGATTACAAAAGAAACTTAACAGCGGAGACTAGAACTGGGGGTAGGATGCAAAGAGGGAACCGCTTTACAGACTTCTATACGGTTTTGAATTTACCATGTTGTTTTTTTAATATAAAATTGAGGAAGGATCCTCCTACTCAAAGATTGTGAATCATTCTCTCATGTAGTGTCTCTAAGATTTGTATTTGATTTTTTCTTCAAGACAAACTTTTGAAATCACATACTACCTACCGTATTTTTAAAGATGAGAAGCCTTTACTTACATGGGGTGCTTGCTGGAGATGTTTCTTTTTCAAACTCACTTTTTAAATTACGGAAATTGTATGGTTACAAAAAATTGAGAAGACACATAAGGATGCAAAAAAGAACTAAAATTACACATAATCACTCATTACTGTTAATCTTTAGTGCATTTTCCTTTTTCTTTGCGTTAGGCCGATACATGGTACTATCTCTATAAAAAATGTGTTTATAAAGTTGAGATCATACTGTACCTACAGCTCTGTATCCTGCTCTTTTCCCCACTTAAGTACTCAATAAATGTGTTAAATTGAATTGTTGAAGTAGTAGTGTGTTATTTCTCCTCAGCAAAAGTTAATTCTGCAGAAGGCATTTAGTTGGTTTCTAGTTAAGTAAATAAAATTTAACAGGTTTATACCTAAATTTAGTCTGTATTTATGATCATTCTTTAGACAAACTTAACGGACCAAAGAGCATGAAATGTTTAAGGTTTCTGATAATGTTTTTCAGAAAGGTTACCCCAGTTTTCACTCCATACTCGGTCTCGCTGTTTCTTTGCCAACACTCTTACCATTTTTTAAAGTCACTGTTACTTCACAGGTGAAAAAGTTTGCTCTGGGGAAGTGTCTTCCTCCCATTACAAAATAAAGTCAGAGTCTTCCTAGATGTCCCTTTGAGTAGTATCTTCCAGCCTAAACACAGGAGGTTAGAAAGAAGAGGGACAGTCAAGTTTATTCTCTTGTTCAAACATTCTTAGTTTAGTGTCTCCAACTACCATAAACATGGAAGTCAGATTAAGAGTCTCTTTTTAAGATTCTTAAGAATGACCAAGTGAACAGAAGGCAATCTTAATTGCCTCCTCCTTGTCCTACACTACAGGCACTTTAGTTCTTCGAAGTGTGATTATCATTATCAAGAACAAAACTGCAGGGTACAGGTGTGAGAGAACTAGTTGTAGACCAATGGGGGTTTTGCATCTGATGAGAACATTATAGCAAACAAAGTGGTGCTTCTCTGACAGGAGAGATTAAAATAGCCTCAGTGTGTGTCAGAAAATTTCCTCCTGCAGTGATACAAACACAAGGTAAGGTGGTCACTTCCTCTCCTGAGATTAGCCCCAGGGCGGTGCTGGGTGCTTGTGGGGAATCAGAGATACATGACCTCAGTAGAGCCCTGCAACAAAAAGATGCTGGGACAACAAAAAGTAAAAGTAAGATCATTCAGATTTTTGGAAAAGATTTTTTTTATTCAGTGTTTAAGATTAAAAACTACAAGATTTTGCTTGCAGCTGATGAGCAAAAAGAGAAAAGTTAAACCTAAATTATCATTTGATTGGCTGGTTAAAATGCTCTGACTCTGAGTCAAAGTACTCAGTGACATACCAGTTACTGTGTGTGGGCTTCCGAGGTCTGGAGCGAAACAGCCCTGAACACAGCGTATCATCTGAGAGCACAGGGCTAACGGGCATATGAATACTGAGAAAGAAAGCTGATAAGGGGCGGCTGCTGCTGGCCTTTTGATTTTTTTTAGGCTTCTAGCACTTGGTTACCATATGCAAGGACCTAACAGCCAGTTATTTTATCTCTTGACTCGTCTGAGTTAAACAACTGTAACCCACTAAGCAGGAATATAGAGACACTTTGTAGATGAGGTGGAAAACATAAAGCAGCCCCACTTCTCCAGAATTTTAGTTGAATTAAATCATAAGAGAAACAATGATTATTGCACATATTGTACTTGTCACACTACATCTGTTGAGTAGAATTTCCATTCCAAGTGTTATTTTCATCTTCACCATCGTCTTGAGTCCTCAATCTGTATATCTTCCCCTCCTTTTTAAAATCTTCCCCTCGTTTCTCCAGCACTCTTTTTCTGACTGGTTCTCTGATACAACAAAAGGCGGAGAAAAGAGAAGATGGTATAAAACGAAAACAGCAGTAACACAAAGCCGTTTCCTTTAAGCTGCCATTAGCACAGGTGACTAAGGAAAGTCTGTGGGAGATAACTGTATCTACTAATGCAATACTAGACTTCATACGTTTTTGGTAGTTTAACTTCATCTGTTCTCTAAGCCAAACCAGTCATATCGTGTTTTCCATGTCCATGTATTTGTTGATGACTTCCTCAGCTTTAGAAGAGTGAGACCATTTGCCAACTCAATCTCTCCTTTAGTATTTATGCAAGCTGATATATATACTAAAACATGTAGCTATAACTTACACAGCACCCCAGAGGCTATCCGAAGCTCCCTTCAGAGCCTAATTTACAGAAATGGTCAGTTAGCTATCTTCAGTCCTTTTATAACCTTTAAGAATAATTTTCTTTATACATGGATAATTAACAAACAGGCCTTCCTCATCTGAAAATGAGAAAGAAACAGGTGAAATCTGAGCTAGCTAATACATTCTCCAACACTAGAGGGAGAGAGAAAAACAAAAACCAACAATGGAACACAAAGCTTCACCCTCTCAGATGTAACCCTTCCCATCCTTTGCTCCAACCCAAGAATCTTCCCTTATTGGAAGTAAATTTTTAGGACCCACATAGCAAGCTCTTCTATATGACAGTAATTCAGGATGAAATGCTTCCACTCATTGCCCAATAAGAGCTCTAAAATTCAGACTTAACAAGATGTAGTTTGAACGCTGTTCTAAGACTAGAGAAGAATTTCTCTGTGTCCCCACATGAGTCACGTACTAAGGATACAACTGGCCTTCTTGCCCAATAGATAGAGATCAAATAAAGGCTACATTAGCCCAATCACAATATTCACACAAATTTTCAGCCAGAGACTCAAAAGCATACGAGATTAGGGATCTGCTTCAGACAGAGGCAAGGGTTTTCACTACTTATCACACAGGACTGGTGTGAGGATTTGCTCCAATGCCTATTTACAGACTGATAAAGTGTTTAACAGTGGAAGGTACAAACTGTGATAAATTGTGCTATTAATTATTAAAAGGGGGTATAATCTCAACTTCTAAGAAAATGCTTCATGTTAACCTTTTTCAAATATGTAGAATTTTAACAGAGATATGAGCTAAGATCATTGGTGTTACCACTCTAACCTTGGCAATCTGCAATAAATGTAAGACCTCTTGGTTAAGGGACTAGTTCAAAATAATTTTCTGGAGGAGGTACCATTCTCAAGTGAATGTCCAGTTTCCTCAGTCTGGTCCTCCTCTGAATGACCCAGGGATGGTGGTTAAATCATCTGGAGCACAATGATCCCTCTAAAGTAATTATGCCACATGACTGTGAGAAATTAACGGAATGAAGTATCTTGTCGGACAAAACATAGATAGCAAGAAAGATATTACTATTTAAATCTGAAAAAATATCTGCCCTTTGTTATAGGATAAAGACAATTCAGTAAATGAAATAATAAAATCAGTAAAAGTGAAGGTGCTTCTCATGGAATAGGTTTCAGAAAGATGGCTGAGAAAACTCAGGTAGTGAGCTTCCCAGGAGGTGATCTAATAAAGCTTCAGAACATGCTGGGGTTTTCCCCTTACACAGAAAAAAGGCCAAGTGTCTGTAACAAAATTCTTCATTTTGAATAAGGCATTGGGCATTACTAACGTATTTTGTAAATGGGGAAAACACAAACAAATACCTTTTTTCTGAGTTGTTAGACGATGCAAGGTTTGAGGGTTCCGACGATGCTCTCACCAAAGTCTGTGCAGGAGGAGGATTACTAAATAAGAAGTTGCTAATCAGTCTCCAGATGGCAAGGAATGGGTAAAGTACTGTCCCCAGGAACGTCCAAAAGTCTCCACTGGAAGAATGTACCATGGATGCAGCTGGTCTTCCTGCCTAAAAATTAAGAACGAAACCTAGAGGAAAGACTGCACCAGCCCAATCATGTCACATTCAAGGTTCTAGATAAGCTCTCTCTCTGGAAAAGTCCTGTGGATTTCAGCTTACTGCAAGAAGGTGAAACTACCATCTTTGGCTGTTTTTCAAGTGTATATAAACTTCTGGGAACTCCTGGAGCTCTTTTTCTTTAAAGGAGTAATCACAACATAGAAACTAGAAAGTAGTTCTCGGTGAAATGAACCAAGTATTTTGAAGACAACTAAACTTTTGTAATGAAATTAACAACTTTTGTGTGCCCAGCATGCACGAGGTCCTGGGTCCAATCCCCAGTGCCCCTATTAAATAAATAAATAAACCCAATTACCTTGCCCTGCCAAAAAAATTTAAAAAAAAAAAAAGAAATTAACAGCTTTGATTTTAAAAGTCTTTATGATTTATAAAAACCTCACTGAATATAATCCTGAGTACTGGAGCACTAACTGTCTTAGGTGTGCGGCTCTCGTTCAGAGCAGGGTAAACTACAGTTGTCTGCCTCGTCCACAGTGCGTTATGTTCCAAGACCCCCAGCGGATGTTGAAACCCTATATTTGCTATGTTCTCCCTATACATACGTACCTGTGATCAAATTTAATTTATAAATCAGGCACAGTAAGGGACTATCCAAACTGTCAGCATCACCACTCTTGAGCTTTGGGGCCATTATTAAGTAAAATACGAGTTGCCTGAACTCCAGCA